AGTTTCATGACATGACTTAGCCAATGATTATAACACACAGAAATTAAGCAGAAGTACAGTCATGGACACCTGCATCTGAAATAACTGGATATTTTTTTTTAAAAGAAGACAAGAGAAATAACACATATTTTTAAGAGATCAAATCTTACTACTTTCCTTAGTAGTATTGTATCAGATACTCATATAATCCCCATGTTCTTCTTTACAGATACACAGATGGATCATTATTCCTGCCTTCAAACAGACCCTATGCAAATGCCTATCTCATTACTTCTTTCATTCAAGTTATGTCAATATGCCTTTCATCAGCAACTCTTCTGGTCCTGTTCAGCCTTTCACCTCTTCAGCTTAGTGATGGGAGAATTAGCAAAGGGAGGAGAAAAAAGCCCTTTGTTGGCAGTTAGCTCTTTCACGCATCATTGAGCTGTGATCTGAAAAAAATTATACTACTTGTTGGCATATTGATACCAACAAATTCACCAGATTTACTACAGAAAAAATCATGTAATGCCAAAAAGTGCATTTTTCACACCATACATAAACTCCCCTCATTTTGAAAATAACCAGCAATATGTATACTACTGTTGCCATCATACCAGCCTGTTAGTTTTGTACTGTGACATGTTATGGGAGTTATGTACAAAATATGTACATTTGTGTGTAGAAGTTGTCATAACTGAAAGAAGACTCTGTCATAATACTTCTTTTGAAGCACAAAATTCAACATGGCTCAAATCATTTTTTGTTCAGTACAAGTATAAAATGAAGTTCTTTAAGTATAGCTATCCTGTTGCCTATGAATTGTGCCCATGGGATTCTGGTTAGGAATAAAACAGTTGGTCATACTCCACACTAATGCAAAAGTGAGTTGACTGAAGGAGGGATCACTTAAGGAGAGAGCTAAGGTAACAGGCTTCACTGCGTTTATTACTTCAACCATTCTCACTGCTCTCACATGAAATGAACTCCTTAGCAGCACACCACTGTTGTCAAACTATTTCTGACACTGTTTGTGAAGTTACTATGTAATGGCCCTGACTTTGGAAATCTCCTTGTTACTTTTTCCAGTACTATATCCTGTTTTGAAGGAAACAAACTGAGTGATGTATGTAGTTCAATCTGTTCTCATTTCCACATTCTGGCTTTTAAAGTCCTTTTTTGTATAATTATGAGCCACTTTTAAAGTGCTCTTCAAATCATGAATTAGCATCAATTATATATATTAAAATCCTTGCAGATAACCCCTTACAGTGTTCACATTTACTGAGCTGCACACTTACTGAACTTGGGATGATTCCTGGCAGTTGCTCACTTTAATAAGATATTGGAAACATTTTATATTTAATTAGGGTGAATGAGTTGGACTGAGTAATTTTCCTCTAGTCAATAATTTTATCATAACTTAGGGAATTCTTATTTTTTTAAGAATAAGCCATGGACATGAACTGTTAAATTGTGGCTTACTGCATAATGATACCATTAACCCACCATCTGATTGCAATCAGAAGACTTGATTATGCTACACACATTTCTTGTGTTTACCATGCACAGAGAAGCATTTTAACACGAAGATAACTACAATACTCGCTTGCCATGTTCTGCAAAAAATTACCTATGTGTATGGAATGTCACAGAGCTATGCAGCACTCCCTTATGTAGTGTGAATATCAGAAATGGTCTTTCACTGTGGACTTTGAATACTCTTCTGAGTTCAGAGCTGGTGTCTATTATTTTGGGGCTAAACCTTGGCTAACACAGCTAGACAGCTTACGATACCCAGTGTAGCTCGTTTAAATCTAAATCAGATCTCTGCTTATCATGCATTGTACATATATACACATAGAGGGCAGGGGAGCCCAAGACTGTTGGTTGATATTCAAGTATCACTTGCTACAAGCTCAGGAGTGTTACATCCCAACTAGAAGGAAGTGCAGCAGGAGGGCCAAGAGACCTCCTTGGATGCATAAGGAGCTGCTGAGGAAACTCTGAGGGAAAAAAGAGGCTTATAAAAGGTGGAAGCAAAGACAGGCAGCCTGGGAAGAATACAGGGATGTTGTCCAGGAAGCTAGGGACCAGGTTAGGAAAATTAAGGCCCAGTTAGAATTAAATCTAGCAAGGAATATGAAAAAGAACAGGAAGGGATTCTATAGGTACATAAGCAAATAAAAGACAGACGAGGGACAACGTGGGCTCTCTCAGGAAGCTATCAGGAGAACTGGCTACCCTGGATATGGAGAAGACTGGGGTTCTCAATGACTTCTTTTTCTCAGTCTTCACTGGCAAATGCTCTGACCACAACACCCAAGTCTTGGAAGGCAGACACAGGGACTGTGAGAATGAGGACCCTAGGCCCGCTGTAGGAGAGGATCAGGTCTGAAACCATCTTAAGAACCAGAACATGCACAAGTCCATGGGACCTGATGAAATCCATCCGCATGTCCTGAAGGAGCTGGCAAACGAAGTTGCTCAGCCACTGTCCATCATATCTGAAAAATCGTGCCAGTCAGGTGAAGTTCCTGACGACTGGAAAAAGGGAAATATAACCCCCATTTTCAAGAAGGGGAAAATGGATGACCTGGGGAAGTCTCACCTCTGTGCCTGGCAAAATCTTGGAGCAGGTTCTCCTGGAAGGCATGCTAAGGCACATGAAAAACAACAAGGTGCTTGGTGACAGCCAGCATGGCTTCACTAAGGGGAAATCCTGCCTGACCAATTTGGTGGCCTTCTATGGTGGGGCTACAGAACTGATGGACAGGGGTAGAGCAGTTGACGTCATCTACCTGGACTTGTGCCAAGCGTTCGACACTGTCTCACACGACATTCTTGTCTCTAAATTGGAGAGACATCAATTTGATAGATGGACCACTTGGTGGATAAAGAACTGGCTGGATGGCTGCAAGCAAAGAGTTGTGGTCAATGGCTCAGTGTCCACTTGGAGACCTGTAACGAGTGGTGTCCCTCAGGGATCGGTGCTGGGACCAGTCTTATTCAACATCTTTGTTGGTGACATGGACAGTGGGGTTGAGTGCACTCTCAGCAAGTTTGCCGATGACACCAAGCTGTGTGGTTCGGTTGATACACTAGAGGGAAGGAATGCCATCCAGAGGGACCTTGACACGCTTGTGAGGTGGGCTGATGCCAACCTCATGAAGTTTAGCCAAGTCAAGTGCAAGGTCCTACACCTGGGTTGGAGCAATCCCAGGCACAGCTACAGGTTGGGCAGAGAAGAGATTCAGAGCAGCCCTGCGGAGAAGGACTTGGGGGTGCTGGTCGATGAGAAAATGAACATGAGCCGGCCTCAGTGTGTGCTTGCAGCCCAGAAAGCCAACCGTATCCTGGGCTGCATCAAAAGGAGTGTGACCAGCAGTTCGAAGGAGGTGATACTGCCCCGCTGCTCTGCTCTGCTCTTGTGAGACCTCACTTGGAGTATTGTGTGCAGTTCTGGTGTCCTCAACATAAAAAGTACATGGAACTGTTGGAACAAGTCCAGAGGAGGGCTACGAGGATGATCAGGGGACTGGAGGACCTCCCCTATGAAGACAGGCTGAAAAAGCTGGGACTGTTCAGCCTGGAGAAGAGAAGGCTGCGTGGAAACCTCATAGCAGCTTTCCAGTATCTGAAGGGGGCTTATAAGGATGCCGGGGTTGGACTCTTCATTAGGGACTGTAGCGACAGGACAAGGGGTAATGGGTTAAAACTTAAACAGGGGAAGTTTACATTGGATATAAGGAAGAAGTTCTTTACTGTACGGGTGGTGAGGCACTGGAATGGGTTTCCTGGGGACGTTGTGAATGCTCCATCCCTGGTGGTATTCAATACCAGGTAAGACAGAGCCTTGGGTGACATGGTTTAGTGTGAGGTGTCCCTGCCCATGGAGGGGGTTGGAACTAGGTGATCTTAAGGTCCTTTCCAACCCTAACTGTTCTATGATTCTATAATTCTGTAAGTCCACATAGATAAGTATATACTCAAATAGATACTGAATTCCAGTAACTCCTTCTCACTGTAATTCCTTTCGTATGACAAAAAAACACTACTGAATTATGTTCAGCTATAACAGAATTCTATAATATAATATTGTCCTTGTATTGGTCTACTCTGCAGTCACCATCAAGAGAGGAATTTGTTCATTCTTCTATTATGTTAAAAAGAAATAATGAAGACTTTTCATTTAGAAGTATTTATACTCTTTCCCATAAAAGCATGCAACATTTAATTGTAACACAAAGTAAGAAAGCATAATAGCCTCGTATCCTAGAATAACTGTTATCGTAGATTTGCCAGAAATGGGCCAGAGCAAAAGAGGTAGGGAAGTAGAACATAAATATTTATCTATGCATCTTCCCACTTAAATGTCTCAGGTTCTATGAAGATGTATTTTTTCAATTGGAACAATCTTCTGAAGTTATATATAGCTTTCAAAGGGCCGTGTTAATTATCGGCGTTATATCAATGCTCAAATTTGGAACAGTTTGGAATGTAATATATTCAGTACTCCAAGAGAAACCCTTCAGAAAATATATTTGACATGTTAATATAGTAACATTGTTTAGCAAAGAATATATTTTGCCAACCTGAGAGACAGAGGATTTAGGCTTAGTTTGGTATGGTGTTTTTTTAAGCACTGGAATTACATAGAAGAAAAACATGCTCTTCTGCTCACTTCTGCAGCAGTAGCCACTTCTATCCTTTGCCCTGGAATTGCAGAATCTTAGAAAGGAATAAATAATTTACCCACAAAGCAGACACACTGGCGATGGCTGTGCCAATGCTCAGCTCAGGATGGAACTGTGGAGAAACTGGAGTAAAGCCCAATTGCACAGAAAGTGCAACATTGCATATGGGTGACATTCTTGCTTTATATCCACCAAACAAGGAATCCTCTCCCCTTACTTCATCTAGCTGTATCTCTACCCCCTTCTCTACATGGAAGCAAATTAGGTATATAACAATATGGAGAGCACAATAGCTAAATCATGCTTTTTTAAAGAAAAACTTACAGATCACTGTAGACAAGGCCATAAATCTGTGCTGTGCTGTGATGATAGATTCCTCTCAGGATGATTAAAAGCAGGATCACAACAAAAGCTGGAAGCCCCCAGCTCAAAAGGAAGTAAAGCAGATAGCGCCGCTCTGTGTGTTCATCATTCATCACCAGGACGTACCAGAAATTAACAGCCTAAAGGACAACGCAGAATATTAGTCAGTAGACTTGGTGGGTGACTAGCTATCCCCCCCAGAAACCCCACCCTGGAAGTCATAATACAGCATATTTCTGTCCCAACATATGTGTATATATGTCAACATTTTTCAACATAAATATTATGTTCTCAATTTATTAAGTAATCAAAAAAGACTGATTATAAAGGAAGTATGCCTATTCATGTAATCGTTAGATTTGAAATTAGATTATCAGAGAGAATGGGGCACCCTGTTTAGTAGAAAATATTACTTCTGGACTGCAAAAATAGCTTTGTGGTGTAAAAGTACCTTTTTTCTTGGATTTCCATACCTTCACAGAAAAGACTGACATATAATATTGCTAAATCTGATCTGTATTAAATCTTTTTATACTATTGCTCGGCTCTGCATACCTTCTTGTAGAAAATGCCCCATCCCTGGCAGGGTCCAAGTCCAGGCTGGATGGGGCTTTGAGCAACCTGGTCTAGTAGAGGATGTCCCTGCCTGAGGCAGGGGGTTGGAACTGGATGAGCTTCAAGGTCCCTTCAAACCCAAACCAGTCTGAGACTTTGTGATTCTATTAAATGCACTAACCTCCTTCAACAGTTCTGACTGTGGTCTGGTTCTGGGCTCACTGGTAAAACAAAGACACAGACCCCAGCAAAGGGCCATGAAAGTAAGTGATTAATAGAGTGGAGGATCTCTCTGAGGAGGAGAGGCTGAAAATGTTGTGGCTGTTCAACCTGGAGAATAGAAGGCTCAGGGATAACTTATCCACATGTATAAATGTCTGATGGGAGGGACTGACAAAAGAGCCAGATTCTCCTCAGTGGGGCCCAGTGACAGCACAGGAGGCAACAGGCACAACTTAATACATATTTACATACATAATTCCATCTGAACACAAGAAAAAGCTTTCTTCTTGTGAAGGTGGTCAGATGCTGGGCTAAGCTCTCCAGAGAGGTTGTGGAGTCTCTGTCCTTAGAGATAATCAAAACGTAACTCAGCACAGCGGTGGGCAACATGCCCAAGGTGACCCTGCTTAATACAGGGTGTTGGACTAGACAGTCCCAAGATGCCCCTTGCAACTTCAGTGATCTGTGATTCTGTTTAATACTTGTATAAGAGTTTGAGGAAAAATGTAAATAAGTGAATATAAATTCACATGCATCTCTACAACAAACTGTGTCTTCTTATGACCAACTTATCATCAAACAGCATAACTAAGGATTTAAAACCATATAGGAATCAAAATTAAAAAGTGGAATAGTTGAAATCTCTTTATGTATTAGCATGAGTAAGGAAACCCTTCAAATAAAACAATATGCTTAAGAGATTTGCTTGGATCTTTGCATTTACTTTAAGAGGATAATAGCAGAAACACTTTTCTAGGTGTTATGCATTTTTACTATGTTACAACTTTCTAATAAACACCAAAATTATACACAATAAAAATGTTTTGCAAAATATTTCTTTACTTAGTCCACTTCAAACATATCACCACCTACAGCTCTGCATGCTATATAATTATTTATGGCCTTTTTTATGGGATGAGTAAGGGCTTAGTTTTGTCTTTTTCGGCCTAGAGGGCATCTAATTCAAGCTCGTGCCTGTGGCTTGTCTGTATAGTCAATGGAGAGAAGACAGACATCTTCAGGCACTCACTGATCCTCACCCAATCATATGCATATCTCTCCAACATGTAGACAGGGATTTAATACAGTAATGTTGATTTATGTGCTTACTTTGTAGCTGTCTATTGTTACGATAGGTATAGTCCATTCATGGTGACAATTGCAAATTATTATTTGCAATAATCATATTTTGCATAATCTCCTATCCTTTGTGAAACTGCAGATTTCCCTCAGCCAAGGCTTTGTCTACCAGTTTGTTCAGAAAAACTGAATTTTCACAATCAAGTACTTAATTAGTGGTTTGTGGATTGCTTATGTAAGTAAGAAAGTTAATTACTACTAAAGATGGTTTTTTTCTGTGATTTATATAGCATGAAAATACAGTACCTTCTATCATGCATCAGAAAGCACATTGCATATGCTAAGAACTTGTTAAAAATATATATATATATTAGTTTAGTTAGTGTGTTAAATGATCCCTTATGGAATGACATTTTATAAATACATCCAGCGTATTTAATGATGTACTAATTATTATGACCTTTTTTATTTTCATTTGGTTATTGGTGTTATGTGAACAAAGGCAAAGTGTTTTCCTTAAAAAAAAAAAACAGGAAAATCTTAATATATGATTGTAACTGCCTTGTATGTGTTCAGAGAACACACTAGGACTATGAATTCCATTACTGGATATTCACAGGAAGAGAACTAAACAGATGCAAAGGTATTTAAGAAAAAATATCCACCATATGTGGAAAGATTTGGTTGCTCTTTTATGAAGTCCTTTTCTCTCTTAATTTTTACAATGGCTTGAAAACCTATCCAAAATTCTGTTTGTCACTTTATGCCAATAAATGTTCTTCAAATTACGTGTCCTTGTAGTGCTGACTGGGCTGTGCTTCACTGCAAGCATTTCCAAACAGCAAAAGCCTTGAACTGATTTATGCCATTATGCTCAGAGATTGTTGGTTCAACTAATTCTGACAACCTGGTGAACATTGCTCTCAGTCATCCAACTAAGATTGCCTTCCAAGAAATCGTACCTTATGTCCTTGCTCAGTGCTTAGCCATGTTTACCTATCTCACCTCATTTATCACAGAACACTTTAATAGCAGTGCTGCTGCAAAGCTGCAAGTGGGTTTGGATAGTTCACCATGTCCTGCACAGTAACATTTCTGTCTTGATAATTGCAATTTCTTGTCTTCAAAACATTTTGATGAAGCAAAATTTAATCAATGAAATATAAATAGTAGAGATAATTTTAGCAAATCCTTTCCTGTTGCCAGGTTGCAACAATAACTACTTCTACAGAAGAATAAAACTTACAGTCCATTTCCCAGCTGCTCAGGTGAAAGACCATTGTGCAAGTTGTGTTTCTTCTGATGTAGATTGCAAATTAATTACAAATTCAAATAACACTCTAATGAGACAATGCAAAATTCATTGAAACTTCCATCTTTTAGAATGAGGCAATTAATTGCAATTACCTTCCCAAAAGTAGAGTTCTTTTGTTTATTTCTTTCTTTATTCATTAATTTATCTTTAGTAATAATATGTGGATATCCAGTAAGTATCCACTGCAAAATATTTTAAATAACGTCTTTTGTGTCTCAGTGGGAAAACTGCTATTGCCCTGCTTTCTTCTTTTAAGAATGGTCACAGCTTTCCTTTTCAGAATGTTTGCTCGCATTTGTATAATTCTTTTTCCAAAGCTATTAACAAATCATTCTTAAAAATAAGCATTAAACTTTTATTATAAGCTAAGTGCTTGTCTTACAAGTCCTCAATAAATTTACAGAAAATTTAAGGTGCCAGTAAATCCACAGAGGGGGAGGATTCAGGTATAGGTTATGACCTTCACTATGATTTGGTTATTCAACTGTCACTTTTGGTGTTGACTTACTCCATTATAGCAACGGTTCAAAAAATTATGAGTCCACCTTTTCCCATAGTTTTATGTGAGAATTAGCAGTTGAGAACTACACAACTATATTCTTCTTTAAAAATTCTTCTTCAAACTTAACTACTTTTTTTTTAACTTCTTTTTTCTGTAATAAGTTAAAAAATGCTAAAAGAAAAAAAAAAAATTTCCTGATAACTGGTTGTCATAGTATAGGTTTATCATGGAAAAAGCAACACAATACAGAAAGACATCTGTACTGTGTGATCCTAGGATAAAAGCACAGACTACATATGAAAATAAAGCCTTATGCTGTAGCAATGTACATATGTATGAAAGGACATTTGTCAGGAAGATTTCTGAATTTCAGGTATTAGTATAAGACAAGTATTTCAGACTAAGCTGTCTTTGTGGGCACAAATTGTTATTTGCGTCTTGATTACACAGATACTTCTGCAGTCAAGAAAGCCTCATCCTTAAAAACTGGGTAATATCAACATTTTTCAACTTACAAAAATCTCCATATAAAAGCCAAGAAACAAGGTTATGCCATACAGAGAAATAGGAATAATCAAGAAAGGCTGACTTAATGTGGTCTTTGTTCTGACTCTGAAAACGGACCAGGTGACGTCTGAGGTCCTTTGCATTTCTGCATTTCAGTCGGTAGGTGGGTAGAAGCTATGTGTGTAATACAAATACTGATATCAAGTGTAAGCCCACAGATACAAGAAGCTAAAAATGAAAAATTATTAGAGTATGAAGCTATAGATATAGTTGTTTTAACCACTAATAAAATACAATCAAATGCTACATATAATTACTATACCTAGCAATATGCAGAAGATAGAAAAAATAGGACAAAAAGGAAAGGAAGTTGTCCTACATTCTAGAAAGTTAAGATCTTTGATCTAGTCTACAGAACTGTATTTGCATAGCTCCAACTGTAGTGTTAAATCTGTGGTTTCTTATAGACTTTTGTTGACTGGAAATGTTGCTCCACCACCAAAAAGTGGTTTTGGTCACTTAAAATTGGTTTGGATTTTCTGGATGTTTCAGTTCCACGTATCTGCTCATACCTACATGCAGATGGCACTTGGTTTTCACATCTACCCACTCCTGTATGAAGAGATCAAGGCTGACACTAGCACATTTGTATAAAACGAGTCAGTGATCAAGCACATGCCCTACACTGTGCAGCCTCCCAGAGGGCAGAGTGCCCTACATGGGGGATGCAGAATCTGCTTGCATATTATTCCTGATCCCAGACAGAAGTATTTAAGTCCCATTGAAGTATAAATACATTGATAATTCTGCCTTCCAGATCAAGTCATGTGTATTAAGTGTATTATATTGAGAAATACAACCATTCATTTCCCAGGAATTTAAATCTGACATTTAGACAGCAGTAGCATCCAGACTTCTCACATCAGTCTGGTTTTCCCCTGGATCCACCAGGTTTGCTAATACTATCATGGGGACCATTTCAAGCACAGAGATGTCCCAGCACTCTTTTACTGCCCTGGCATTGCTTCCTCACTGTGCAATGATGACTACAATTTCAGGAGTTTTTCTCAATCAAAGGGAGTAAATTGTAGTTAAGGGCTGGGTTGATCTACATTTCAGATTATTTATTTCCTTTTGGATCTTTCAAACTTCAGGAATTATTCACAGCTGAAGATCTGCACCTACAAAAAAGGACATCCCCTTCATTCTAAGTTTTACTCGTGGAAGCTCTTGTCAGCTCATCATTCAGCATTCTATAAAGTATTCCCTCTATGGCACCTTTGTCCCCTCAGATCTGCACAAAGAGTCTCCATGACTAACACAAGCCTGAGGCTCCACTAAATACAATGGTGACACAAATTCTTAGGACCTGGCCAAAGTCTACTCCAACAAAAATAACAATGGATTTCAACTACAGCCAAAAAATTACCAACTTTAAACAGTTATACATTGTTTGTTTGTTTTTTCTGTCATTCTAAGTAATTAATCCTTAGAAGAGCAAGCAATTGAAACAGGAATCCTTTTGCAACTTAACGTAATGTAACACACTTAGGATGGGACGATGAAACACTATCAAACACCAAGAAGTCAAAACACGATATATCCCAGTAAACCTGCAACTTAAAAGTATTACTTTGCCTGTCCAAAATAGTGAATTTTCAAGAGACATGAAGTGACTTAGGAATGAGGTGAAGGAGCAGCTGTGAAGACGAATATCATTTACTGTTCAAAAAATAACCTAGGTTTGTTAACCTGGGAGTATGCCATAAACCAAGCTAGGCAAGAAGTACAGCAGAAATATTTCTGTACTGAGACAGTAGAAAGCAACATCCACTGGAAAGAATATGTAGCCTAGGTGTATAATTTCAGGAAAATAAGAATTAGTATCACTAAAGACAGAGGAGTTTAGATGTCTGCTCCATCATTACAAGCAGTTGCAGCAGCAGTGTACATGACTATCTACTTGTAGCTTGATAAGATGAATAGACACATTGGAGCTGTTAGAGAAGCTGCTAGGGCTCTCAGAAAAGTTAGCCTGACAAAACCCCAGGAAAATGCCAGATACTACATGAATGTCACTGGGGGTGAAAGCTGTATTTAGATATAGCCTAATTTGCAATTCTCAGTTTGGTCTCCCAACTTGCATATTGGAGGATTGTCTACAGATGAATATACAAAGCTGCATGCAAAAAAAATAAGTGTGCTATGAATAAATCCTATTAAAATAATAGACAAAAAAAAAGTATAATTCACACTTTAGTGCTAAATATACATTTCTACCCAAGTGTGTGATAACGCATTTTTCACATAACCACAGAGCCTGTTATTTTGACTAGTTTACAATAGGTAATATTCCATAACAAATTGTTCGTGGTGTCCCATACTAATTCAATTGTGTTTACACCATGTTCTAAAATGTGTCAAAAGAACAATGAAGCTGGTAAGAAGTCTGGAGAACAAGTGTGATGAGGAATGGCTGAGGGGATTGGGATTTTTTAGGCTCAAGAAAAGTTGACTTAGGGAAAACCTGATTGCTCTCTACAGCTACCTGAAAGGAGGCTATAGTGAGGCTGGGGTGGGTCAGCCTTTTCTCCTAGGTAACAATAGGACAAGAGGAAATGGCCTCAAGCTGTGCCAAGGGAGGTTTAGACTGGACATTAGGAACAATTTCTTCACTGAAAGTGTCATAAGGTTTTGGAACAGGCTTCCCAGGGAAGTGGTGGAATCACCCTCTCTGAAGGTGTTTAAAAGATAGGTGTATGTGGTGCTTAGGGAGATGGTTTAGTGGTGGATTTGGCAGTGCTGGGTTAACAGTTGGACTCAATGATCTTAAAGATCTTTTCCAACTAAAATGATTCTATAATTCTATGAAAATTCTGGCAATATTCATAATGTATGTACTCCTTATTTTAGTGCAAAATTATGAAGGTATGTTTCTTATATTCTGTGATTCTAATGACTAAAATGTTACTGACCCAAAAGATTACAGTGTAGTTTACACTTACGTTTCACCTCTAGGAGACTGTTTCAAAAGACCAAGTGAAAGATTCTTAGAGAATCTATTAAATCTAATAAAAATAGTTTTTCATTATTTTTAGACAGTAGTTTTTACAGGTTACTTTAACAAGTAAGAATTGGGAATTCCTACATAGTTGTAATAGATGTTAGTGGGAAAAGTCTATAGGGTTCAAATATTTAATCTTGCAGATGTAACACTCTAGGTTTAATAAGGACCATCTAATGTTTTGCCTCTCTATTAGCATTAGATTCAGAAATACATATACTATGATATAACAGAAACACAGTCTAAGCATCAGCTATTTTTTATAGAGGTTTTGGAAAAGGGTTTAAAAAGGCAAAGAGACCAACCTGAATAAGCATCCAGCTGAACTGGCAGAGGTAAAGGTAATGTGTAATAGATGCAAGGGCAGAGCAGCTTTCCTCTGAGAGATGTTGGCTCATGTAAGCAGAGGCCAGAAATGAAATCTGCAAGGAAAAAAAATAATATGTCCATATTGGAATTAAACAATATTAATTTAATAATAATAATGAGGGGGGAAAAAAAGTATCTTCCATTTGGAAGTAAAACATACACCCAGTTACCATTCCAGAGATACCTTGGACATTTAATATTCACCCAAAAGAAGTGACCTTTTAACACCATGAGCCACAAAACTAGCTTTAAACTTTTTGCACTCTAGTATCCATTACATCCATATCTGAAAAGACTATAGAGAGACTTCATATTTATTAATATTGCTTCCCAGACTAATTGCCATGCAACATTAGACACCAGTTTTGCAACTGAGGGTGGGTATTTTCCTCCATAAAACAGACAATATCATCTGATCTCAGTAAGGCAAGAAAATTTATCAAGTAATCAGACTCAAGAGGCATTTCCTGTCTTCAGACTGTGAGGTATGTAGCAATATCACACCCCATCACATAAGATAGCAATACTGGACAAAAGCTAGTAAGCATTTCTTCTGTTGCTTAAGACCAGACCAGGATTTCACAGTCACAAGGCAGATATAAGTTCTTTTGCAGAGACATGCCCAATATCAAAGGACTGTTCCTTGCCTGGTTAAGCAGCCAATGCATTGTCTAAGGAACAAAGGTATTCTGACTCTGACTGGAATGAACGCTGCTAAACAGTTTCAAAATAGTATTTAAAACACAACTCAGAAGCTTTTAGCTCTGTCTTCTGAGAACTTCTTTACAGAGGAAATAGTTCTACAAGCAGACTTCATAAAAAAATTAAAGTGTTCACATAAAGAAATACTCAGTTTACCTACTGAACACCTGCAGTAACTGATGATTTTTCCTTTCGTTTACAAGGAACACTACTATTTTGACCAACTGCACATTGACTTGTTAGTCAATAGAGAATGTTACCTCACAATGAAATGGAAGAATAAGAATAAGCAACTAGATGACAACTGGACTAAAATCAATTATGAGATGCATTTCATTATCTAAAGGAAAAAAAAATACAGTTTTAGTATTTTAAGTGGTGTTCATCAGTCTTCTGCTGTGAACTGGAATCCAACCACGGGCACATAGGCATTCAATTATTAAAAGGTTAACACACAGTTTAATATTTTCTGCTACTTTCCAAATTCTGATGCTGCTAAAACAAATACTATTGTCTGGAGTGGGTTAAACACAATTGAAATGTGTGTGCAATAGCTGCCTTCTATGAGGGATAAACACAAGAAGTATTTGTGTAAACAACTCCGTAGCACCAGCTAGCTCAAACAGTACCATCAGTACTTTTTCTAAAACTTGAGCAAATGCGTCTACTTACAACAGGAAAAAAAACACAACCCGCACATCGGGGTGGAGAGGCTCTACCACTTTTTGTTATCTGAAGGCTCATGTATCTGTCAACAACAGACTGTTAGGCTAGACAAAGAAGGGATGAAAATACAAAAGCAGACTGACTGAGTCCTGGAAACATGGTTTTGCACCTTCTGGACTCATTATTATAGCATATAGATATAATAATACATATATTATTCTCATTATTATAATTTGTCATGTTTTAAGAATTTTTTTTTAAACATAAAGAAGTATCTTGTTATGTCAACAGTTTTCCAAACAAAACGACACAGAAAGTCCAAATATTTGCTAAAAATGCATACTTTTCATGGATAGCATCTTTTGTTGAAGTAAATCAGCAATACAGCTGAAGTAATCCTTCAGATAAGGATTCACTGAATATAGTGGCATTACAGTGTTTTACACAAAAGAGAAGGCTAATGATTTAAAAGATGCAAAGACATATAGAACCATAGAATGGTTTGGGTTCAAAAGGACCTTAACATCATCTAGTTTCAACCCCCTGCCATGGGCAGGGATGCCTCATACTAGACCATGTCACCCATTTTACATTATTTTAATACGTTATCTTACATCTTGGGCAGAAGACTCAAATAAGATTTGGATTATAACACAAAAAAAAAAAACAAAACAATTTGCAGCCATATTTTGAAAAGCTGGGAGAAGAGACTGTAGTTTGGCTGTGCTGTTCTAATAATGCACTGCAATTTGGCAGAAACACGTGGTGCACCAGACACTGAATAGAACATTCCCCCATAATGTGTGAGCTGGCTAGGGAAACAAATGAAAAAGCACGTTCCACATAAGTTGTTCTTTGGACCTAACCATCTTGTGGCTTCTGTACTTTGCTTAGTTTTTAACTGTAGTGGGCAATCTATAGACTGATTAGGGGGGTGAATCCCTGGCACCGGTTGTCCAGAGAAGCTGTGGCTGCCCCATCCCTGGCAGAGTTCAAGGCCAGCTTGGATGGGGCTCAGAGCAACCTGGTCTAGTGGAAGGTGTCCCTGCCCATGGCAGGGGGTTGGAACTGGTTGAGCTTTAAGGTCCCTTACAACCCAACCATTCTATGGTTCTATGATCTTTTGTAATAATGAACTTGTTACTTTAATAAGCAAAACATATACCATATATTGGAATAAGTTGTTCCCGTTTGGAACATTAAAAAATACATATTAGATGTGTTCCTTTTGATACCAATTGTCCAGAGCTCTTTTTACAGAGATAGCATGAAATTAAATACCTCTTTTTAAAACAATCTTTGTAGCCTGCTTTTCTGTTCTATGCCAACATTATAACATAATGCTTCTTCCTGGTAAGACTTGACCAAAATGGTTTACCTAAGGGATAACTAGTGACTGAAGTTATTTAAGTAGCAGGCTGCTACTCTTTATAATTTGTGATAGTTCTGTGCCACATTCAAAATTACAGTGATAGTGTATCAGTCACAGGTTCCTCTTGAAAATTGAAAAAATGAAAAGTTAAAAAATAAACTGTGATAAATCAATGCACTTCTGCTAAAGAGCAAGAAGGTCTTTGACAGAGTTCCCACCTGACAGTCATTTACTCAGTTAATTAAGCAAAGGATACTGCAATCCCTTTGTAACTCTAAGACAATTGCCTAGCAGTTACTTGAAGGAAATTAGCGCCTGGGTATTCAACCTAAGCCATCAGCATCAAACTATAAATTAATAAAACCAGATGATTCACAAAACTGTACATTCCTGTATGACAAAGAGTAATTTTGTACCACATTTTCCAAGCAGCAGGCTGTCTCAGAACATCACTCCTCTGCTATTTAAGAGATGCCTCCTATTTTCCAGCCTGCACTTATTCGTGTTTAATTTATATCTATTTTTTCTTCTGCTGGAAGCCTCTCAGGTTAAACAGGATTTCCTCCTCCTTGGGGTTTGCACTATTATGAATTCACGGAAAGCAGCAGCATTCTTCCCCAGGCTTCATTTTTCAAGGTTAAATCAGCCAACCACTGCACAGCACCATACTCTGTAGCGAAGCCTAAACTGGCCTGGACAGCAAAAGCAGTTTAGCTCCAGGAATACAGCATCTGCCAAGATAAATTTATCTTGTTTCTCCAAGTAATCCTATGTAGTGCATTGTGAAATGTGTACTCATATGCGCAAAAACCTATCTTTGTGCAAAAGTCTTTGCAGCTTGTGAACCAAATTCATCATCCTCCCCTATACTGATGCCACTTTGATTCTGTCCTTCATGAATATATTTACCTCAGGTTGGATGGAGAAGAGCTGCAGAGGTTTTTAATGTTCTCATCTGGCAGTTTTCTTATCTCCATATATCTCATGCAAAGACTTTTACTGATATAAGGTAATACCTCAGTGATCATCTGGTACAAACAGTTTTTCTTCTCATTTTCAACTCGCTACTTCTTGCCCCAGAGTTAAAGCTTTGCTGTTAGCCTACACGTTACAACTTTTCACCATGTTCTTGGAAATATGCCTGTATTTTACTCTTCAGTCTTCCAAGATATCCACATCTTCCTACCTGCTACCCCACTATCATTTTGAAGGGTCAATTCTTCTCTTTCTGCTATCAGTGCATTTTGCCTGGCACATTATTTTCTGTTCCAGAAACAGAACAATGCTTTAGGGTCAGTGAAATACTTCTCTTCATAAACCACTCTCCCAAAGCTGTCTTTTCCCATTAGTCTCTCTCTTTACATCCCAGTTCCTCAACTAATCCTCCTCCATTTTGGTATTAACAATTATGTGACATACCATGCATTTTAATGCATTTATCTCACCAAAGAAAGCTATCAGACTAGTCTGGCACAATCTAAGTATAAGCACACTGGAGTATTATTCTCCATTTACTACTCTGCCTTGGATAGAATTTTTTCTATCTTTCTGAGACTGAATTGAACAGTCTACAGTTGCCAGGATTTTTTTTTTTTTTTTTTTTTTTGTTATATATATATAACTATATATATATATATATATATCTTACTTAAAAGTTCTCATTATACTGAGCTGTGTGGTTCGGTTGACATGTGGGAGGAAGTGATGGGATTCAGAGGGATCTGGACAGGCTGGAGAGGTCGGAACATGTGAACCTCATGAAGTTTAACAAAGTCCTGCACCTGGGTCAGGACAATCCCAAGCACAAACACAGGCTGGGAGAGACTGCATGGAGCAGCCCTGAGGAGAAGGACTTGGGGGTGTTGGTTGATTAGAAGTTCCCCATGACCCAACTTCAGTGTGAGCTTGAGCCCAGAACCGCGTCATGTGCCTGGAGAAGAGAAGGCTCCTTAAGGGGAGACCGTAGAGCAGCTCCAGTGCCTAAAGGGGCTACAAGAAAGCTGGAGATGGGCTTTGGACAAGGGCCTGAAGGGACTGGACAAGGGGGAATGGCTTTAACCTGCAAAAGAGTAGATTTAGGTTAGATATTAGGAAGCTCTTCCCTGTGAGAGTAGTGAGGCATTTATGGCATGATAAAGGCCAATGATTCCAATGATCCACTGATAAAGGCCAATTCCAACTGAAAATATCAGCAGCACTTCAATTACTTCTGTATTTAAGACTCCATCTAATCTTATGCCAACTGTTTTGAACTTGTTTGGAAAATACTGTAATAAAATGGTTAATAAACATTGTGGCATTCCTTCAGAAAGG